TCTTTCTTCGAAACTCATGGCTCAAAAATGGTATCAATGAGTTCTTGTGCTTTTTATAAAACCCCAAACATGCTCTACAACTTTCATCTCTAAGTTTTCCTTGAATAAAAATGGATCATGAAAAAAAATGGCTTAGAAGTTGGTTATTTTTTGAAGTCAGATTTGTCTCAAAATTTTCTAAGTGTGGGAAATCAATTTTGAATGGAAGACCAACTTCATGGCTTCATAACTTGAAATCTAAGCACTTTTTGGAGATTAAGCCTCATTAAGAAAGTTTTAGTATGTTGTAAGGGCTTCAATTTGATCTTTGGAACACATAAAATGGTGGTCTAGGTTGAAAGTTATGACCTTCCAAAGTTGGTACCAAATTAAGGTTTTCTTACAACACTTAGAAAAAATTCACTTTCTTCCACTGTACCCCTTTTGCAGAAAACCTTCAAATTCTTGATTTTTCATGATCAAACTAAATGATTATACATGTTTCCATGGAATTTAGCTTGAGGATTTCAATTTTGACCAAAAATCTCAAAAGTCAAAGGTTTGTGTATCAAATGAAATTGACTGTGTGGTCTTCAATGATCTTGAACTCTTGAGTCTTTTAAACGTCATAGGTGGACTTCAAGGATGTATTTGAGTATCTTGAATCATGTCTCAAGGCTTGAGATCATGTCTTGATCAAATGTCAAAGGCACAATTGACTTTGTCTAGTGAAACCCTAATTTATGGTCAGATGAAGTTGAGTCTTAAAAAACTTGTAATGAGACCTATTTGCACTTGATTTTTAATGGAGAGAGGTTTCTTAAGTGTATGCACAACCGGTAGGTTAATGATCAATCCAAGATATTGACTGATCAAATAAAGATCTCCTTGATTCAAAACCCTAATTCATAGATGGAACAAAATAATGAACTTTTTGTACAAGGTTAAGTTACTAATGCAATGCATGGTATTCCTAAAATGATGATGAAATATAAGGTCAAAAATTGGGTTATGACAACATCAACCTTCCTTTAAGGATGAAGAATTAAATTTGCGAGTGAGGAAGATTCGATTGCGCTGGTTACAAGGAAAAAGGAATTAGGTCACAAAGAGGACGAAGAGGAATAACGTATAGTTACAAGAAAATTGAACTTAATCATGAGTTGTAATCTATTTAGACACATGGAAATTAGTAATTTTCCAATTATTTGAAAAAAATTGTCAAGTCACCATCTACGTAGGTTTCCGTTAAGTAGATTAATAGACGGCAGAGACGAAAAATAGGGACGAAATTTTTTATGAGGATAATTCTTTGAACGAAAATGTTCTGGGAACTAAAACTAGATTTTGTGATATTTATAGATACTTGTAACATATTTAATCCTTTAATTTAAAACAATTTGATTTAAATACTATAATAGGGTAAGAATGATTAAAGTAGATTAGAGACGTTAATGCAGTAGATTTAAAATGGAAATGACAATTATGGACTTGAAATTAGGAGTCTAATAGGATTTAGTGAAGGTTAAAATGTAAGATTAGTGATAATCAAAATTATGCATAAAACAACTTGATAAAATGCATAAAACAAACTTGATAATGTATCCAAAATACACATTGTATCATAAACATAAATGCTTAAGCCAAAATACATGCTTGTATCCAAAAAATAAAAGTTTAAACTCAAAGGCTAAATCTAAAGTAATATTGTAATCAAAATACATAATAGAAAACAAGGCTTAAGCTGAAGTACACCATTATAGTAATGTTGTTAAAAAAACATAATTCAAAACAGGTCCAATGTCTACAATTTCCATGGTACCCTTATGCAGGTACCTACTTCCTTCTCCATTGAGCATGATTACTTCCTTCTCCCTTGAGCTTTTTGCATCTGAGGACCCTTGCTCTATCACTTTTCCTCAACTCCAACTTCCTTGCGACCTTTTGTTTGGGTTGTTTTACCTACAAAGACACAATAGAAACAAATACAATTAGGCCAATATCAATAAAGCTGAGAACATACACATTAACTCAATTAGTCAGTAGCAGACTCAATTGATTTAGGAGGCGCAAAAACAGGTTCCTTAGGTGGAGGTGCATGAAAAGGTTGATTAGGTGTAGGCTCAACGTCTTGAATAGGTGCAGACAGAATGTAGTTTGGTTATGAGTCACCAACCCCTTGTTAAGGAATTACGAGTGCAACCTTAATAGTCGGAGCATGGTCACTAGCAACTTGAGTTGGAGCTGGAATTTGGGAAGTGAGATCATTGATATCGGGTTGAGGTTGCGTTCTTTCAAAAGCTGCACAAAGATCTGCTGCAAGCATTTTAAACTCTTGGTCCACATCATTGTATTTCTGGTTGTTCTTTAGTTGGAGGTTCATGTTGAGGTTGTTGTTGTTCAGTATAAGCTTCATTTTCATCATGAGTTGTTTGCTCTACTACAGATCTAGGTTGTGTTATTTGTGTAGCATTTTTCTTTGGTTTTTTCTGCATTACCTTCAACTAAGGGTGGGAATATATTAGACCAACTAACAGGGACCTACGACCTAGCCTACATAGGCTCAGGCCAGGCCAGACTTTTTCTTAAATAGAAAAAGCATAGGCTTTTTTATAAGTCTATTTAGCTAAAGAGGCTACTAGGCCACAGGTCGTAAGAAAAACATTTTAAGCCTATCAGACCAACCTATTTATAAAAAATTCAATAAATTTATTATTATTATATTGTATTTTGTACTTTGAATCAAAATACGAAAATAAAGCTTAGTTATTTTGAACAACTTATGAAAATAAGTTGAAAAAACATTATAAACAATGTCATAAGTTATTGTCATTAGTTTGTTTCCATAAGTTCTTTATAACAAATAGTATCATCAAACTTATGCTAATAGGTAAATTTGAATGAGATAATGAAAATAAATATTTAGTCTCAATGATCTTTTAATTTGTTAATTTATTTAACGTTAGTTGAATTTCTTATTTATAAAAGCTCAAATGAAGTAGGCTTTTAAATAGGCTAGTAGGTCAATCAGACCTCCGAAAAGGCCAGGATTAGGCCTAAAAATAAGCATATGATAGGCTATAGACCAGACTTAGGCCTAAAAATAAGCATATGATAGCTCTGTTCATAGATATACCTACAGAGTAAGTACTCCTAATCTCATAGACAATATCACGAAGCTTGATTCCATCAAATGAAGCCATCCTAGCCACCACAGTCTTCGCAATCCACTTGGAGTTAGCAATGGTGTTATTCAAAATCCTATCACACATGTGAGCACCAAACCATTTCCTCATTTTATACGTGTGTTAATTCCTCACTTTACTAACAAGAGCCAAAAAAAACCCACATTTTCCCTTGCAAACTACTCTCACTCCAACCTTGTCATTTTTCACATATTTATCTCTCTTCCATTTAACACCGACCATTCAGTTATTGCCTCCTCAAATTCATGCATAAATACAAACTAGAAACCAACTTTGAACTTGTAGTCCTTGTCTAACTCCTCCATCTTAAACCTATGGCATTTTGGTCATTTCTCTTCATCTGATGCATCAGGATCACTACTGCCTAGATCATCATTTAAATAATTAGTTTCAAGCCGTTCATTACCAACACTAACCCCACTTGACGAACCCCTAATGGCATCAACATTTCTTATCTTTGTTGGAGTATTCCTGTGTTTCCATGCTATCTACTTAATCCTTCTAGGTGGTTTGTCTACAATATCAAATCTATCATCCATGCCAAGGTCCCTTTCATCCTCACTGTCCTCAAATGATAAACCATTATAATCACTATCATCATTATCATCTCCTTCAACACCATCAAAATTCTCATCAACCTTGGAAGAATCATCAACATTTAGATTTCCAACATCACCATCAACATTGACATTTCTAGCATCATCATGAACATCATCCTCAATAACATTATCAGCTTCAATATCATCAACATTATCAGCAATACCATTATCAATATTATCATGAACATCATCCTCAATAACATTATCAACTTCAATATCATCAACATTACCAGCAATACCATTATCAACATTATCATTAACATTATCAACATCATTAACGACATTATCAACTACAACTACTCTATGGTCAATAAATAAATCCACACTATAACTAGTTTCAACAACTTTTTCATAAACCTCAGCAGTATTAATATCACTAACTATCCTTGCATGCTTACCCGATATAATGTTATACCACCATACTTAATAATTAGTAGATTCAAGGTTGTAAACTTCTTTCACAATACCAATTGCTTTAAAAAAGCTCCACCTATCAGGGTCAATGTCTACTACATGTTTATCCTCACCTAAGTAGTACACGACACTATCCTTAACAAATTTTCTACCGTAATGAATGTTCACCGTAAATGTCATACCTGGAAGATTCGATTAGGCCGCTCAGTCACAATTGTAGCTTCGTCACCCTCAGTCACCTCGCCTAGACAAACTTTCGTACCAGTCGCCTTCATCTTCCCTGAGCTCTGACTGAACTGAAATGTTTTATAAATATAAAATCCTAATTTACAGGGACTAAATAGAAAAGAGGGAAATGAGTTTTGATGACATTTTTTTTGGGACAATAAAGAAAAAATAAAACAAATGTTAAAACATAAGTCAAGTCACCACCGTCTGCCACCTCAGATTTTTTTAACGGTTCATTTACAGGAGTGCCTAACGCCAAAGAAAAATAAATATATGAAAATTTGGGGGGGAAAAAATTCAAGAACAAAAATCCAAAACTTCATTAAGTTAGTGGAACTAAAATACTATTTAAGCCTTATTATAATAGATTGAAATACAACCCCATACAAATTAAACCAAATTACATTAAATAATATAATTACTTTTTTATATATATACGTACTTTAAGTAAAACAATACATGATTTTATTTTTACAAAACAGCGTCGTTCAATTCGAGTCTCCATCAGACACCGGATCTTCAAAATTCCTGAATACTGAACCAATCACCACCGCGTTATCGTGCAAAACCCTAGATGGACCTTCTGAAGCAAGAGCTTCTCAAGAAGCGCCAATCCCTGGCCGAAGAAACCGGCGGTAAGAGAGTCTTCAAACGCTCCGAAATCCAACAGAAGCAAATCCAGAAGCTACGCGAAGAAGAAAAGCGTGAACTAGAAGCGAAATCTAAAAAACGTAACTCAACTTCCTCCGACACCACCTCCTCCGTTCCAACCTCATCAACCACGGCTTCCTCCTCCGTCACGTCTGTCGCCGCCTCATCCAGCGCCTCCCTTCCCGACGAGCAGAACATCGACAGCCTCGTCCTACCTAAACAGGAGGTCATTCGTCGTCTCCGGTTCCTCAAGCAGCCAGTCACGTTATTCGGCGAAGACGACGATGCTAGACTAGATCGTCTCAAGTATGTTCTCAAAGCTGGATTGTTTGAAGTTGATAGCGACATGACAGAGGGACAGACTAATGATTTCTTGCGCGATATTGCGGATTTGAGGAAGAGGCAGAAGACGGGGATTGGGAGCGATAGGAAGAGGCAGAAGGCGGAGGATGGTGCCACTGAGGATGGTGATGGTGGTGCTGGTGATGATGACTTAAGCGATTGTGGTGGATCCAGTGGAGCTGATAATGACAAGGATTTGAAGAGGATGAAGGCGAATTTTGAGGATTTGTGTGATGAAGATAAGATTCTGGTGTTTTTTAAGAAGCTGTTGAATGAATGGAAACAGGAATTGCGGGAGATGGCAGAGACGGAGAAGCGAACAGCTAAAGGGAAGTCCATGGTTGCTACCTTCAAGCAGTGTGCGCGTTACTTGAATCCTCTGTTTAAGTTTTGTAGGAAGAAGGTGAGTTTTATTTTTTTAGTCTGCATCATTTCAATTGAGCACGAGTATATTGATTGTTTATGCATTTAGCAACCTACTTTCCTTGTATTTGGTATTAGTATAATACGAAAACTTACATGCTAGTGCTATTCACCCCTTAGAATATGATTGGAAACAAATTAGATATTCATTCTTACAGTTCGCCAGGATGTTACCTATTTGGTGAAATGGGAACATATTGAAATTTGAAACCAATTGATTCAGGAGAGGTGGGAACATAATTGTAGTGTTGTATATTTTAAGGCGATTTTTGGGGAAGATGGTAACAGCTTTAAGGTGTATTTCAGAGAACTTTCTAGCTTCATTGCATTTGCATGCATCAAGATGTTGTGTATCTGTTGGAAATGTGAGATACGGTATTTTAAGCAACACTGTTCGACTTTGAAAATGTTTAGGAGGGGAGTGAAATTGCAGATTGGAAATTCAGTGTAACAGGACTCTCACGCGGTGAGTGAAAGAAAGAATCAGACCTATTTACATTCTATTATATGCAGCCTTACCTTGCATCTTTGCGAGGTTGATTCCACATCTCGAAATTGTCACATTCTAGTCGCACAAAAGCAACTCCAGTTGTTGCTTTATTTACTGTCAGGACTTGGGATTATTGGACTTGAGTACCACATTGTATATAATTTTGATTTGGGCATTGTATGACCTTGGAATCCCCTTTACTTTGTGGCGTGGTTCTCTCAAAATATATAGTTATACCTTTCTAGTGGAGGAATCGATCTATGTTGGTTGTTATTTCCATTATATCTTCTAGGGGAGAGTTTTGACCGAGGAATTCGGCTGTGTTACCAGTGCTGTACAAAATCTATCTCTTAGGATAAATGCTTCCTAAAACAATAAAAGAGAATCCGGTGATTCTCAAAACATGTCTCTCCCGCTTAAATATAAAGAAAATCTCGCGTTAAGGCATCATCCTATTTATCAATGTAAACGGTGCTCAAAATTCTAGCACCAATAATATAGTCTGCACAGCAAAAACCGGAGGCATTTGCTAGCACCAAGAATGTAGTATGCACAGAAGACCAGAGGTATCTTCCTACTCCTACAGATTGGATATTTTAATAGCCAATTCTGTACTGTACTCTGGTTCATAATTCTCAACATCAACACCTTGTTTAGAATAATTGAATAGTGTGCCTTGATGGAAATCCAAGTGCAGCAATGCTAGACATGCTCTTGTTGTTTATTTACACCTTTGTTATTAGTGCCTGATATAAAGCTATTTGAGAAAATAGAAAACATTACAAAAATCTTGTGATTATTTGGCATACTGACTGTGTCACCTAATCACGAGATTGTGTAGGGGTTGAGTCACACATTGTAGGAATAGACAGGACAAACTTCACCTGGTATTGTGAAATAGCAACGCTATAACGCAAGGGAATTTGAACAAACTGCTATTATTTTTGTGATAACTTTTTAGTACAAAGTATTATCAAATAAAGGCTATATTGGCCTTATAGTAGAATTTGAACAAACTGTTATTTCCATGATCTGCAATTAGCAACACTAACTCCACCATCACTGGTTTTCGGGATAGTTGTGCACCGTCAGTGTGCTCAAGTTATTTGCATTGATACACATACACTATTTGAGGCAAAAAATTTGGGCAACATGTTCTGTTCATTTGTTGTCCTATCCTTCTCTGGATATACAATGGAGTCTTCTTGGAGAATCTAGTTGTGTTTGGGCGTAACTCAATCCTACAAAACTAACTTGTAAGGTAAGGGTTGCCCCCACTTATAAACATATCACCATGCCATATATTGCACGATGTGAGACTTAAACACACCCCTTCACTATGTTGGGCTTGATATGTGATGGTGGGTCGTCTGATAACAAAAACTTGATAACATGTGGCCCAATGGATCTTAAACAAGACTCTGATACCATCTTAGAGTTGTGGTTGAGTTTAACTCAACCTAACAAAACTGACTTGTAAGGTGAAGATTGCCACCACTTATTAACATATCTTCAGGCCATATATTGTCTGATAACAGAAACTTGTTAACATGTGGTCCAACAAATCTTAAACGAGACTCTGTTACCATCTTAGAACTGTAGTCAAACTTAATTCAACCTAACAAAACCGAATTGTAAGGTGAGAATTACCCCCACTTATAAACATATCTTCTGGCCATATATTGTCTGAGGTGAACTTTTAACAGAGAAGAATGTATAGCTTTGTGGTAGTGGAGCACGAAGTCCAAAATACCCTCGTTTTAAAACCGTTTAGGGTTTTTTTGAATGTATTTTATTTTATTTTAATATTTTTTTTGTCTTTTTCACTCTAAGGTTAGTTTTAACTCCAAATACAAATAGGACCAACCATTCCTCTCCGACAGAAAAAAACATGCAGCCCTGTTTTTATGGACCTATATTTTTTCCGCGAACAACACAATGGCTCAGAGCTTCTTAGCTAGTGACTATTCTCAATAATTTCCCTGTTCTCTGCACCAACATTCCCATCTTCCCTGGAACCATTTTTCTCGTCTCTATTCTGTTCTATTTAGCAACCGTTGATCTGCTCTGTTTTTCTGCAATCCTATTACGGCATCATCTCAGTCTCAACCAACACAATCAACACCTTTGAGGATGCAGAACAATGACTTGGAGGGATATTGCTAAATGCAGCTGGAGTTGGTGCGGCAATAGTAGTCACTAGGGGCCAAAGAAGACTGAGAAACCAAGCTTCCCCGTCTACTCAAACCATAGAGGAAGATGAGGAAGATGAGAAGGAGGAGGATGCAGAACAAATTTCACATGATAAGGACGATGAAGAGCTAGAGTGCAATGATATGGAAGACCTTGAGCATAATGACTATGATAGTGATTCCATTTAAGGAATCACTTGGATTTATTGAAATGTCTAGATATTTTATTTTGAGCCTTGTGAGCTAGAATTTATTTGTTATTTTGCTTCATGTTATGTTTGAATATTAGACGTGTTATTTTGAGTCTTGGAGGCTAGAAATTATTTGCGACTTGAATTATATTATGTTTGTAATATTAGTTGCAACTTAATTTTGTGCATTCTTGTATGTTTTTGTTTTCATGTGTTGTGCTTGTATTGTTTCTCTGGTGTTTTGGGGGCGGCCGCTATGCTACGCCATCTGCTACTGACTACATAGAACGAAAACAGGATGATATTTGATGACAGTTTTATATTTTATATTGTAATCTGGTACTTTATTTGTTTGAAAGATTTGATGAATTATTTTAGTGAACTTGATGTGATTTTAGTTTAATTGATTCATAGCTGATTTTATTGATTATAAAATAAAATTTTATATTTGAACATAGATAGGATTGCAGTTAAAAAGGTTTACTTGCTATAAACTCAATTGTCTATATTCCATAGTTGGAATCATTAATTGTATGCCTGTAAATAAATTAGTAGATCCCAAATCTAAAGTGAGATGTAGAGCTGATGAGCATCTGGGGAAGGAGGTACGGGCAATCTTTTGATCAAGCAATTCAGTGATATGGGCAGTCTTTTGTTTGAGTTTCCTTGAATTCTTCGGCGGTGTCTACACGCAAGTATTGTGTGAATATTTTTGGGAAGAGTAGACTATGCAGTTGTCATTGGCACTTCTACTTTTCAATTTTATTTTGGAAAACACAGCTGTTAACATTGTTAGTGCGACACTCTTGAAGAGCTTAGAGACTATTATTCCTTTGTTTTGACACAAGAAGTTTAGGAACAGATCTTATAAATGCATTCTAATCCAACTTCTCTTAGCTGGTTATTTACTTGAGATCCTATGTCAAGGGTGTTAGACATTGAATATTTAGCATACCTTTCAGTTTTAGAAGTCTATATTCTGTGTCTTAGAGCATACTATTTTGCTTCAAGTAATGACTTGTATTTAAGCATAAAATCATGTTGATATGGACTGTGTCAGGGTTGCATGTTTTCTGAAGCATTTATAACTAATAAAATTGATGTGGTGCATGCTATTTTCAGGTTCTTCAGGATGATATTCGACAGGCACTATTGTTGATGGTTGAATGCTGTATGAGACGAGATTATCTGGCTGCAATGGACCATTATATTAGGCTGGCTATCGGGAATGCTCCCTGGCCTATTGGTGTTACTATGGTTGGTATTCACGAAAGATCCGCCCGTGAAAAGATCTACACAAATAGTGTTGCTCACATCATGAATGATGAAACAACTCGCAAGTACTTACAATCCGTAAAGAGATTAATGACATTTTGCCAACGGCGTTACCCGACATTACCATCTAAAGCCGTTGAGTTTAACAGTTTGGCAAATGGGAGCGATTTGCAGTCACTATTAGCAGAAGAGAGATTCAGTGGGGTCAATCAGGCATCTGAGGAGAGGCTTAGGATAATGCCTGCTCCTAGAGAAAGCTAGTTATTCATGTCCTTTTCCCTCAAATGACAACATCTTATCACATGTTATTTATTTTCAACTGCTAAATACAGTCTGCTTCTGTTTCTTAACGCATCTGTATAAAATTATGATATTTTCTATGCCGCCCTTGCTCCCCTTGGTTTTAAGTTCCACCTCAGTGTTCGTTTTTAGTATAGTTAGTTTAGGTGCTGTTTCAGTAAGCACTGCAGCTGGGTTTCAATTTTAGGTTTTGTTGCCTGAATCATCCTAACAGTTCTATTTGCTTTTGTCTGATAAGTTGATGAAATATTTTGTCTCTTTCTATCTTTTTATCAAAAATTTCTTCTGAGTTATACTTTTATTTTTCCAGTCCATTAAGAAGTTTTGTTTCTCTCTGAGTACTTAAGCATTTTTTTTTCAGGAACTTACTATGTACTCTGAAAATTTTCAGACAAGTCAATTTCAGTTTGTTAGAACAGTATCTATTTTGGAAAGTTATTATTTTGAGTGTTTTTTTGGTTGTAAATTTTGAATAACTCAATTTTTAAGTTATTTGATATATATTGTTCATCTGAAAAACTCACATTTTGGAAAACAAGAAAATGCGGGAGTCATTTAAAGTTTTGAATAATAGTGAATGTATTTTTGTGTTTTGAATGGAAGGGCAAACTATAATTTTGAAAATATGTGGGAGTGGGAGATAAGGCGCGGGTCTTTGAAAGTAAGAATGACTTTTCATCACCACAAAACCATGCCCATGAGCAGCTGAAGAGTATACTTTCTCTAACAGAGACGCACTTTTGACTAAAGCATATTTTGTATTTTAGGTGATTAATATTCATTTTATGTGTTTTTAGGTAATTAGTGATATTTTATAGTTGAGTACACTAGATGTTCCATCTTTAAATTTACTTGTGGCGCCATAGATCTTAAGTGTTGATTTCCAATCTTACTTAATGTTAGAAGATGTTGGTTAACATTTAAGTGTTGATTTCTGATCGTACCTGATCAGAAGGAGTCAATGGCCGGCCACGCGTCTGAGTTGTCTGACTGTTGGGAGAATGGAGGGGGTGTACCTGAAACACACTCCGATGTCAAACTAAGAGTTGGGCAGAGTGATAACAAGTACAGAGAGAGAAGTAAGAATGAGATTATCTGACCCTCTAGTGAAACAAGGTATTTATAGTGTGCCCCCAGCGCAGGGCCAACGGTTACTTCGCATTGGGCTGGATTGCTAGGCCTAATACTGGTAACTGTTAGAGCTGACGTGACGTCAGGAGGATCAGCACGTGGCCTTCGCCCTAGTGTAACTGCTTCGTGCTATCCGAGAGGTGGAGGACCGAATAATCAGGACACAAGAAGTTACCAGATGATGTGTCTCCGCGTAGGGGACACATCGAGAATGCGGGGGAGGTCAGATGAGCTCCCTGAGCTGATGGGTTCTGCCCAACAGCGGGGCAGAAAGGAGAGCGCGCCTGACAGATGTGAGGAGCCTGCTTGACTGCCATGGGTCCGTGCCCGACGGGAGAAGAGGTTCTGGCCGACGGGAGAAAGGTCTCTGCCCGACAAGTAGGCAGTTCAGGTCTTATTGGGCCTTCCAACCCGATGGGGTTTGGGCCTGCTCGAATATGGGCCAAGTGTCAGCCCAGTCCAAAACAGTAGTCTCCAAGTCGTTGTTCGTAGTCAGACGAGCTACGACTTAAGGTGCAGAAGTGTCGAGCATGTCGCTTCGTCGGTTAGTCCACGATTGTACTGGTCGGGCGAGCCTATGATGTACGGGGAGGCCCGCGGACGAGGAGGGGAAACCTGGACGCAGGGAAGGCGGAGGGTCACCACGTGTCACCCTAAGGAGGCTACGGGTTAGGTACTTGAATCCCTAGCGACGCTTCGTTTCTCGTGCTAGGGCATATATATACGTGGGTTCAGCCCGTCTTTTCGCTCTCTTATCTTCTTGCTGCTGCTCAACCTTCTGAATTTCCTGCTCGACGTCTACAACCTTTCTGCTCGACACAACTGCTTTTCTCCGCCGTATCATGTAAGTTTCCTCCTCCACTACTGGTATTTAAGTAAGCTTCCGGCGGCTCCGACGGGCCTACCGGGGAGACCGTGGACTTTTCTGGCGAATACGCCGGAGAGTCCTTCAAATCTAGAGTTCTGACTGAACCTCCCCGGCCCTTGCGATGAGTGGCCCGGGGAGATGCAATGATTGTTGAATGTCTCGAAGGTGCTCGATGAATACCCCGAACACGATCAATGAGTACGCCAAGGATAAAAGAATGAATTCCCCAGAGACGACGGAGGGTCTAGGGTTAAACTAGACTGGTCTTCTGAGCGACCCGAGGCGTGTCGTAGTTCTGCTCGGCTTCGTGCGTCCACGCTCTTTCACTTGAACTGCGGTGGACGGGTGGATTTGATTTAGCTGTCGAATTCACCGAGTTCCTCTGCTTTTGAGGTAAATGGCTGCCCGTGAAGAAGAGGAAACAATGCGGTACCTGTTCGACGATGAAGAGGGTCGCCAAGATGGGACCATTGTGGAGCCTCCGGACAGGCCGTTCGAAGAATGGGTCGGGGACGAACCCCTTAACTATATGTCAAGGTTCGTGGTCGACGCTTCGCTGTGATCAAGGATAGAGAAGTCGGGGCTCCTAGTCAATTTAGGGTATGTCGGCCTTGGGAACTGGATCGCATCTGCTCTCGCTATGATGGGGATCGATTCCCTATGTATGAATTCACGTTTAAGGAGGCGGAAATGCGTCTGCCGTTCACAGATTTTCAACAAGGAGTGTTCGACTACCTGATGTTGGCGCACTCTTAGATCCACCCAACTCCCTTGCTTTCCTTCGTGCCTTTAAGATCCTCTGCAACTATCTCGAGCTCGGGGCCACCATACCACTATTCTTCTGCGTCTTCCACTTGCAACGGCAGACTGTGTCTGGGCAACACAACTGGGTATCCCTGAAGCAGCCGACCAGGCTCTTTCGGGCATACACAGATTCCGTCATAGGGTTCAAGGACAGGTGGTACGTGGTGATGCCGGATACTGACGAGTCCATCAATACGATATTTCGACGAGAGGTTACCGTTGTAGACGACAAGTCCGTGGTGGACTTCCACTCCCATTTCCCCTTGGAGTGGATGGAATTGCATTTTCAATCTAGTACGGAGAGCTTTATCTACCGGCCTAACCATCTGGACGAGGACGATAGTTTGACCTTCTAGAAATTGGTCGACTTCGTTGGGCGTCTTCCCCCTCACAAATGCGCGGCCCCGGATGGGCAGTATATCTGCGACGCTAACGGGGAGATCCGGACCGAGACTAGGTGTATCAATACGAGGGCCCTCTTCGAGTGTCGGACCGAGGCTCGTCGTTTTTTAGGTAGCGAGCAACTTCCTCGGCTTTTATTCGTTCTATTTTGAATTTCCACACTAACTATTTTCTCGTGTTCTCTTTGCAGGTGCTATGGGTTCGATGGAAGAACATGTTACGAAGTTGCTCAAGGGGGTGGCCGACATCCCGCGGGAAAAGCCGCTGTTATTAGGAAGGAAGCCGGTGTTTGACCGGCGGGGTTGGTTCCGTCCCCACAAGGTAGCGGCTCCTTGGTTGCGTCGCCGGTCTCCAAGAGGCGACAAGAGATCAAAGCGTCCCCGATCGACCTGACAGACAGCTCTCCTGATCGACGTTTCGTCCTTTCCCCCTGCTGTCTTAGTCCTAATTTCTTTACCGGTGATAATGTCCCTGCTGTGGCTCCCGAGGAGACGAAGACCATCCTGGCCGCCAACAAGGAGACACGGAGGAAGATGTTGTCCGACGACCTAGCCTCGGTGGTAAGGGCGTTTGAAACGGCTCTTGTACTCAATGAGGAAGGTTGTTCCTCGGTGGACTTAGCTACCGTGTGGGGTGAGTTAGAAGTATTCGAGGAGGTTAGGTCCAAGCTGGTTGCTGACCAGAGGGAGTAACAGAGGTAGGACAAAGCCCATCGTGAGCGGATCAGAGAGCTTAATAAGATGGTGAAGGACGGGGATGATGAGCTGGTTGGGCTGAAGGGTCGGGTTGCTGAACTAGAGGATTTTCTTGCTCCTGCTGAGGAAGAGTCTGATGAGGAGAAGCTGCTGGCTTCCCGACGGGAGCTGGTGGAAAAGATCCGACTGCTGGAGGACGACTGCCTAGCGGCCGTCGAGGTAGGCTTTAAGAGTGTCGTGGCCCAGCTTCGGCTTACCAACCCCGGCGTGGATTTGGTGACCGATGGGACTGGCCCCTACCATCAAGTCCAAGGTGAACGCATCGTGGCAACTGACGGACCCGACGGTGACGAGGAGGACCAACCCGTCCTAGAAGAGGAGGATCATACTGACGAGTAGGAATTTGTGTGGCCTGCGTGCCCGTGTATATATTGGCTTGCCTACCTGTTTGTATTGGCATGCATGCCCGTTTATAATTTTTGATTGTTGTTCGGGCTTTGTGCCCTTATTTGTAATTCCTGAACAGTTGGGCTAGTGCCCGTGATTGTAATCAATGTTTATCGTTTTTGCTAAGTATTTATGTGTGCTTGTTTATTTATTTATGTATCCTTGTTTGCATGTTTTTGTATGCTTGTTTGCTCGTGGGTATATTGATGGGAGTGGTAGCTCGACGTTACTTGTTGCGTCCGGTAGTGTAGGGAACTGGCTGGGTGACCGGGGTTGTTACTTGGTCGGGTACGAAGATGAACCGCGGTCATGACCCTCTCGCGATCTCGGTGTTCTGCCATCTCGGCACGACGACGGTGGCTCTCGATTAAGGGGTCCCATTCGAACAAAGCACTCTGCCCGCACACACAAAAGGGCAGGCGCTTGTTGCCTCGTTGAGTTTTGAGAGACGCGTTTGTACCAAGTTGCGCTCCTGTGGACGCGAGATGGGTCGTCGCAGGCAGTGTTTAACTGTAGTACTTTTATAGCTTCTCAGCATTCCATGGTCGAGTTATTTCATCCTCGTGTAAGTTTTCGAGGTAGTAGGCCTCGTGCACCATCTTGTCCCGGACACG